TTGGATTACGATGATCATACGTTGTATGGGAGCAAGGCAGGGATAGGCTGGGAGATAGTTGCTAGAGGCCACAGGAGGTGCCAGAAGATGGATATTTTTTTTTTTGTAGGCTACCTTATAGTAGCATACTTTGTTGTATATAACTAATTATTGTTGGTTGTTTGATTAGAAACTTGTGTTATAAATATTTTATCATACTATTTTAGTATATATATTCTAGTAGTATGTAGTGTTGTTTCGTAGTGTGATAGCCACGGCAGGTCGTTACACTTTTATGCTATCAAATATAGGTTTTATGATTTCTACAATTTTAATTCATTATAGGTGTATTTATGGTCTAGTTAATTCTCATTTTTAATCATGCAATTACAAATATTTCGAATTGCCTCCTACTCAATGGTTTAAATACATCCTTATGGATTTCTCCAAGAATCCATAAGCAGTCATAGATTCATAATTATATACAATTCATAGAACTAGCACATCACTACATGCATACCTCGTATTCAGGACACCACAATTCCATAGCAAATTCACACTAGATTTGGATTAAATCCCTTACCATCATGCATACAAGCAACCTAGGGATTAGGGGTTAATCCCATAACCCAACAATTACCTTACACCTTAAAGTGAGGTTTTCACTCTCCCTTATCTTGATCAATGCTAACTTTAAGGTTCTAACTTCTAATCTCCTCTCTAGTTGTCTCTAGTTCACCTCCCTTTTTAGACCGCAAATTATATGGTCAGATTAAAAGTGAGGTAAACCTAAAGTATTTAACATATTTAAACAAAACCCTAACCTTCATCCACATTCATAACCCGTTAGTAAAAACTCAAATAATTAACCTCACATATATTGAATTTAAAAAGATAATTAACAATTATTATCTTATCAAATCACTTAGAATATTTTATTCTCCAATCAATTAATTAGAAAATATTTATTAATGAATTTCAAAAATAAAGATAGGATGTTACACTCCCTATGTATTACTTCTTTGTGAGAAGATGTGTCTATTGGTGCATTTAATGTATTTCACTAAAATGTCACTTCTTATCTAATCAACTTTAGGATACAAAAAAGTAAGAAAATGTAATGTGTCAGTTCAAAACAACTTTTAGATGACTTTACATACGCTAAGGGTTGTTCTTGTCCTTTATCTAACAAAAATCAAACCTCACCCTTTTAGAGTTGTTCCAAGTCACTAAGAAGCTTTTAATCTTTTGATCTATTAAGGTATACATTGAAAACAAGTTATAAACATCAGACATAATAAATATTGTAGTAAATTGATGATACATTTTGGTTGATATATGATCATACATAAGACTTAATCTAGTATAATTTTATGTATTCTTAAACAATTGTCTTATACATTAGTCTTTCTATGCTTTAAAAAAAGGAGTATGTTTGTTAACATTAAAAAATTGATTTTGAAGGATCCTAATTCATTCTTTGATCTAACTATGACTTTTCCCACCAAGAGACCTTTATATTCACAAGTAAGTAAATTTTAACTCATTCACACACTTTATCATAAAATGTTGACTTTGACATTAGAGTCCATACAAGTACAACCATTTGAGATGAACAATGATTGCTTTCTAGGCTCACTAGAGATTCATTCTTGGTTGTCGCACTCATTACTTATAAGGAGGTACATCAACTAATTGTTGATATCAGAAGCTCAACTAATATCATGTTCCATGACCTCACTTAAGATCCTATGGTTAGAGTTACCGTAGTATCTGTTAGAAAAGATGACCTAATCTAAAGGGTGTAAACTGGATCTTTAAATTTTTTAACTCATAACCTTCTTGGAAAATAATCTTTTATATAATATTTGATTGGCCCAATTGATTTAGCTCTAAATGGGATAAGGATGGCGAAATTGGATTATGCAATATGATTTATGATACCCTATATGATATGTATTTAAATCAGATCAAACAAATATATGATCAAACATCAATCATTGCAATCAAGAATAAACTAAATAAAATAAGACAAGGTAAGAAAAACTTGCAAAATAATTTATATTGGTTCAGTAACTACCATCGTAACTCATATCTAGTTCCTTAATCAATTTGATTGAGATTCTACTAATCTTTAACTTTCCAAAATTTATAATCATAATCACATGTAATATACTTCAAAAAAAATTAAAGCTCCCACTTCTTGAACCCTTCAAGAATTACCCTAGTAGATACCTAGGGATGGCAAAAATACCCATACCCGCGGGTATCTGCGGGTAAAATCCGCTATAGATAATAAATGGATAGGCTAATTGGGTACCCGCGGATAATGGGGACAGATAATTTTTTACCCGTTTATAAACGGGACGGGGGTGGGTATGATGATATCCATACCCGCGGGTACCCGTTTAATAATATTTCTTAAATATCCTAATTATCCTTGTACCACATAACCCTAAAACTACACTCTCTCATCTTTTTTTCTTACAAAAGTGAGGTTGATGAAGTTACCAACATGTGTTAAGCATGTTATAGAATTATGTTGGATGTAATTTGATTAATTTTCTATCTTTGATTGGACCAATAAAATTTATGTATTTTAAGTTGTTTACTTTCATTTGAAATTATGAGATTGAATTATTGTAGCTTTATGATGAGACTTTAACTTACTTGTGAGATTGATGTATTTTAAGTTATTGATTATCTTGCATTTTTATTATTATTTCAACAAAATTAACGTTAAATACAAGTTCAAAATTAACATTGGATTTTTATTTTTAATATTTCAATTACATTAAATATAAACTTAAAATTATTTGTAATATAATTTTTTTAATTTCTTAAAAAATTTATAAATATCCATGGATATCCGCGGGTATTCAAGAAATTCATGGATACCCGCTTAATAAATACCTGTATGGATATGGGGTGGGTATGAGGCTAATTTTTATTTAGCGGAACGGGGGCGGGTTTACTATTACCGCCCTCATAGGGCCCCATTGCCATCCCTATAGATACCTATTACAAGAAATTTTTCTTTGAGAAACGTACTCAAAGATTATAAAAAGATATCACATAACAATCTGAATTAACTAAGGTGATAATTAAAACAAACTCAGTAATTAATCTTTAATCATTCATGTGAATTATGTTAACTCAAACACCTTGAATCTTAATGCATGATAGAAATCTCACAAGTGTTTCACTCTTATTTTTCAATAGATTCTACTAAGAATTTGTAGATTATAAGCTTACTTTAAGTTTTTAGAAAAATGAAACTCAAAGTCATATCAACTTCTCAATGTAAAATTTGTTTTATATTGAAAATCACTTAAGATAGTCAATTTTTATGGGATAATCATTTTTTTCCTAAGAAAATTATTTTTGTTTATCGTCTTGATTCTAGAAACCAATTAAAAATAAAATAATCGCCTATTTTGAGCTTTAATTGATTATTGTGAAGATTAGTATTTTCTACTTTGTAGATAATCAATTATTTTATTACGTAGTTAATTATTTGTAAAAGCCTTGTATAACTTTAATAAATCTGAGTATTATAATCAATTATATTAAGTATGTAATCAATTACTGTAAGTAAAATATAATTTTTGAAAAATTTTGAACTTAATTACTTTCAAAAATGCTTTTAAACACTTTGTTAATCATTTTTAATCTTCAATCATCAACTACATTAAGATTATAGACCAATTACTAGAGAGACAAGACAAAAAGTATAAAACAACACAAAATACAACTTTGCATTCTTTAAAATGCATTTTCAAAATTCCTAAGAGGTGATACTTAAGCAGTGATGCTGCGTGAAGATAGAAACACAAGTGCCAAAAATTCCATACTATTGTAAGAATTGGTATAAGAGGGAGAGAAAAGATAGTGAAATTAGCTACTAAGCAAGCGTCCAATTTAGCAATTGGTTTCCAGTAATTGATATAAATGATTCCTTTACATTTTTAAGCAAATCGTAAACCTGACTGTTAGCAACTTTTCAACTTATCAGGGGATTTTTCTGGTAGAGTTTAGCATGGGAATGGGATTAACACCGTGGTGAAGAAAAAGTAAAAACAAAAGGAATAAGGATTAGCGTGATAAGAGAGGAAAGATAGAGTCCAAACTCTGAAGTGATGAGTCACAGTTCTCTTACTGTCTTATATCCAGGGACAACAATTATAAAGAGGGAGCAGGACTTTTTTATTTTTATTTATTTTATTTTATTTTTATTTTTATTTTTGTTTTTTATTTATAATAAAATTATATAAGTATTAAATCATACCTCCTCCGTTCTTTATTATAAAAAAAAAAAACTTTTATTTTTTAAATATAAATAAATTTTAACTATTTTTACCTCATTTAATAATATTATTTTAAAATATCTCCCTGACCTTTTAGTTGCATTACCTCATTTGACATTTATAATAAAAGATAATTTGATCTCTATTCATTGACATGTCACCACTATAATACTTAATAACATATATACAAGAATACAAATTTTTAAAATAACTTACCATTAGTATAATTTAACCTAGAAAAAGATGTCAATGCTATGCACTTGAACGCCTTAAATAATTTAATATCTACATTACCATTTGTATAAATATAGATCGTGGATACTACATGACACCCACATAGTTACAAAAAATATTACATATTTTAGAAATATTTTTCATTCTTATAAAATTTTCAAAATTTAATTTTAGTCACCATCAAATAACTAAGTTGAATAATAAAATCATAAAATTCAAATTTTTATTTTTATCTTATTTTAATCAATTCTTAAATTTACAATCTCTTCGCACTTCCACCCTACGTCACTAACATTACGTTCAAGAGTACGTTACTTTTAATACGTTATCGTCGTAAAGAGAAATGTTGCAAGCCAATTATAATCTACTCGGGTAAAATTTCTCTATCTTTGCCGAATGATGCGAGGATCATTTCCCCAACGATGAAAATGTAGTTGCATCATTATTGTGACAAGATAATCGATATCTTGTCTAGAAAAATAAAAATAACTAGAAGCATGAATTTCACTTTAAAGTAATTTAAGTAGAATAACCATCGATTGAAACTAAAATTAGAAACAATACTTTTCGACAGACTCCTAAGTTATTATAATTACTAAAACAATTATCATACACGAAAACCTCTAGGGGCAATTCCATCAAGTGGCTCCAACAACACCAAATCAACACAGGAAACATTGTTCTATCCCTTTGAATGTGGTTCATCTTGCGGTCCAAATTCCACCTGTGCACATCAACATGGATTGTCACTGGCTTCACACGAATCACGACAATATCAAGAGAACTCAAGTGAAGGCTTTTGATGAAACCAATGAATAATCGTTGCCACTTCCTCAGCCTCTTGTTTGTCGTGTGTTGTAGGATTTGCAGTTCGGGCACTTCTGAGCCATAAAATGAAACTGGACGTTTGAATTTTTTCCACAATCGTTGCACAGGATCCAAACCTGTTGAGAGCAACACCATTAGGCAATGTGATACTTGATTGACATATATCAAAGTTGTAGGTTATTGAATTTGTTTAGTTTGGTTTGTATTAATAACAAGTAATACTACTCATCAGAGTTGAAAAAGTAACACTGACCATTTTGTTTTGATATGGCTCAGGCATTGGTGTAGCAGCAATCTCAATGTCAAATTTCTCCCAAACCTTTGACATATCACAGACTGACTTCGAGCAGAGAGGGCACGCATACCTGATATAGAATCAAATACAATAATCAGGATGAAGTTTCAGATAGAGAGGAAGAAAGTAAGGAGTTGAGAAACTTTGTGACACTCACTGGAAATGTTCTCTCATTTCATTCAGGCAGCTCTTGTGCATTGTATGTCCACATGGCATGACAGTGACATCATTTCTTGATTCAAACAAATACTGCAATCAATAAATTTGGTGTGCTTGAATCAGCCTCCAACAATTTGAAAAGATGTCAGAGTGATATTTAAATCATAAAAGATGTGACACGTTACCTCAAAACAGACAGGGCAGTCATGATGCATTGCTCCTTCTACGCAGGGGTGACTATTTTTAAGCAGAGTTGAGTAGCAACAACCTGTGCAGAAAATTACAAATGTAATGACAAACAGGTAGTGCATTTTAAAATAATCGCATTGCTTCTGTACTAAAACGCATAGGAATGATTTAAAAAAAGGGGGGAATTAAAATAATTACTTACCACACTTATAGCAATGGAAAAAATTCTCGCTTCCTCCAGTTCTGTATTATGTGAAAAGATATGAAAATAAATCAGTCTGAATTTTGATACAAAACCTAGTAACTTCAAAAGGGCAAAAACCATTAAAGCTTAGAGATATACTTAAAAAAGTAAGGGTGGGTATGCAGACTAGTTTGGCCCATTTAAGACCCTCCCCCACAAAGCCTACAATTTTAATGAACTAAATAAATCCAGTCTATAAAATAAGTGATCTTTTTTTTACTAAGCTTGCATACGTCTCACAAAACTCATGATTAAACGACAAGCTCATAGACCCAAAATTTTTTTTTTTAAAGTATTTTTTTCCTTCCTTTTTATGCCATGAAAATATGAGGAGAAATGCATAAAAAAATATTATATAAAAATATAAACATCAAACAATATAAAATAAATTTTTTTTATGACAATCTTAACATATAAAGGTTTATACATTTAAACTAAAACATTAAAATATTAACATATCAAGCTTGTACATTTAATCTAAAATATATTTATGCATAAAAAATCTAAAACATATTAAAGTAGTAAAAGTGCAATATATTTTAAATAGAAAATATATTAAATTTATTACTTATTACTTATTACTTATACTTATTTATTAACAAAATACGAAAATAACTCTCATTTCAAAATCTATCATAAAGTTAGAAAAAAAAAATTATTCTCTTAAATGGGTCAGCTTGCAGAGTTCGCAGATTAAATCTGTGAAATCTACGGGCATCTCTGATCAGCTTAACTCCTCTTATAATTACATAGATTTTAAAAAATAAGTCCGTTAACCTTGCAAGTCACAGGCTTAGATTTGAACCTATATTAAAAAGTGATCTTAAGTACAATACAAAAACAGAGTACCATAATCTAGGAGCAATTATAGTCTGCATTTCCATTTTCACAAAATTCCCTAACATTGTGTACAACTGCTAGACTAGATTAGTTATTAATTAGGGTGGGTAGCCAAGTGAAGTGAGAAAATATTATTACTGGGGGCCACATTAACATCTATCATAACAATAGATTGAAAAACGAAATTGATAGAAAAGGTGGAGCCCCCTTCAAACACGTTATATTCCCTGCCTAAAATGCACAGATGCTGATATTTCAGATGAAGTAACTAGATTAGCAATTCATACCTGCAAATTCCACAGCCACTGCAATGGTACTGCTGCTTAGAGATCTGCAGCACATAAAAGAAATAAGTAAATAACACGATACCAATTCAAAATCTCCGTAGCTTAAAAGTCTTATAATCATTCCCTTCTACAGATAAAATAAAAATATATATAAAACGAGAAAGAAACAAAATATCATTAGTTCCAGTATTATTTACTTACATCATCATCAAAAAGCTTGCATGTTCCACAGAAGTACTTGCCCATACAAACACCACAATTTATACAGTATTTCTGAACCTAGAAGCAGTTAGAATCAACAAAGAAAGTTAGCTTCAAATATTCAATGCAGATTGTAAATTACAAAATTCCAGCTTTCGTAATGGATGTTTTCTTGAATAAAATAAACAGAAATACTTTCAAGCAGCCTATTGTCTAGAGTCAATACTGTTTCCACAAAACATCTGGCAGCAATTTCAGAAAGTAATAAGGGTTTAACTACCCTTTTAATCTCTATAGTTTCATACACTTTTACCTTTTAGTCTTTATAATTAAAAATGTTCCATTTTAATCCCCATACATACTGTTTTTGTTTCCTGTTAGTCCTTGTTGTCCATTTTTAAAGAGATTAAAAGGTATATTTTATAAAACTATGAGGACTAAAAAATACAAAAACAGTATATAATGGGACTAAAATAAAAAATATTTTTAATTATAGGAACTAAAATGCAAAGTTTACAAAACTATAGAACCAAGAGTAATTAAACCAAGTAATAAGCTGTAAATTTTCTTTATCAACAGCACCCTTTGTTTCCTTTAGGCCTGTGAATGCACATATGAATTAACATACTAGGACTTTCTTTTTATTTCAAAATAGTAAATATTTTTCCTCAAAAGCTATCTAGACCCTCCTTTACAATATCTATATACCACAACATGAAGAACTTATAAAGACATTGAAGAAATTCTAAACTCACCTCTTGTTCGGTTCCACAAAGTGAACAAATCACCTGAGTATGTCAAAAAAGAAAAAAAAAATCATTAGCACTAAGGAATTCCTTGTCCACGATAACAGAAAAAATGTGGAAAAGAAATTGAGGATGTTCCAATCAGAGATGTCCATATAAATAAGCAACCTGTTTGACTTGGTGGCGGGGAATGTCATGTCTATGCTTCTGATCAATGTTTATATCATTCTGTAGAAAAAGTGAAATCATAATAACAAACGTAAGTTCCCCAAAAATAGAAGAAATGGTACAATTCAAGAAATAAACATAATCATGCAGTTTGTTATGAATGGAGAGCTTGGGCTCACTGTAGGAGTATGCTCTGTGGCAGTAGTGTGCTGAGGCTATTCTAATTTATACATGCTAATAAAGCACACTTGATTCTCTTTCATTTATTCAGATATAACTGTTACTAGGGGTTTTGCGTTTGCATCATATACATGTTGCTAATGGTATAAAAGTAATCAAAGAATGGAAGTGGCACGGCAATTAACAAAAGGAGCATCAAACAAAATTGGGCTGAAACATAAAACAATATGGAACTATATCATTTGACAACAACAACCATAGATTAAGTATTATAAACATACAACTACCAATACGAGATTTGTTTGGGGAATTTACTTACTTTTGCCTCATTGTGACAATGGCGACAATCAAAAATCTCATTACAACAGGGGGCTCTGATACGGCATCTTCTCCGGTAATGTTGACATCTGCAGACAAAGCCTAATTTTAACAAAATAACAGGAAACACAAACTTAAAGACGGAGAAGAGTTTATGAATACGAAATTACCCATGCTCCATGTATCCTTTCTCTCGCAAGTCATTGATATCTTTGTGATCCATAGATTGACTTAATTCTTCTCCAGGTAAGTGCTCTGCATTTGATTCTGAAGGATACACTTCCTTCTCGGTCATGTGTTTAATGTCATTGCACTCAAACTGCAGAGGCTCAGAGTGCATCACTGCAACCTCTCCCATGGTACTAGCTACCCTCAGATAAGATTACGAACTATCTAGAGGCAAGAAGTAAGCTTAGGAACCTGCATGCAGGAACACATTTAGAAATAATCCTAAAATTTCTAAAGGCATATTTAGTCACCCCATCAAGCCAGGTAAACACCAATGAATCGGTGGTTTCTTCTACATTGCCGCAGACCAATTGAAATCAGCAACAACAAAACGCAGCTCCAATCAGCACTACTCCACGAGGGGAACACATCAAAACAAGTGTATATACAAGAATTCCATATACTACTACAAGCAGAACTGGGCTACTTGACAGCCTGCAGCTGTAAATAGAAAATCCATAGCATTGAATGATCACTTGAATCCTTGAAGAACTCCCAGAACCAAATCCAACTATACTGGAGCGAATCAATAGACACTCCAACCTATGTTGAAAGCAATAAATCACTCAATCAAATGCATCCCATACAATATAAATAGTATATGTGTTGATTTTATTGTCCATGAAGGGCAAGCCTACCTGAAATGCAGTTCTGCATTGACTCCTCCAAGAACTGAAACTTACCAAAAGGAAATACTCAATAAATTCCATATCATCTGCACCTCTGTAGATTCCTTTGGATCAAATTATATCCCTTTACTTTGTTAACTAGGTAACTTGACAGTGGACTATGCGTTCACTGCCAAAAAGAACATTAACACTTCTTCAGGGGACCAGGTTATCAATAATCAAGAACGAAATTGTTATCCACGTAGGGAGGACCAACCACAACAAAACAAAGGCTGGAAGAAGGAAACATTGGCACCGATAAACAATGGGAGTAGGATCAAGCCAGCCTTGTCACTGTCCATAAACTGGCAAAAAATCATATGAATAGTTCTAGGAAGAATGCACAAGGGATATCCCACATTCCCACCCATTAGAAGCTTTAACAACATCAACTGGCTCCAAAGTGATTCCCCACAGTACGGATCATAGACGAATAGAGACAGCTAAGGCAGTAAAAGGTATACTTGTTTGGTCAGTCTTCCCTTCAAAGGAGTAGTAGTATCCAAGCAGCAGTAGCTTTCTGCAACTGGGTAGTCCCCTTTGGATGCAAATCGCATTTTCCTGCAATAGACTTCTACATAGAATCTAAACTGATATAGCCATTCACCTGCCTCGAGTCTCCTAAAATTTTCTCTGAAAGACCTATACAGATCATTCCTATCCATTCAAGTAACTGGTAAAAGATGTCCAACTATCTTATTACTTTAACCACAACCTGCTTTGTGCCTTATTTTTCGCTTAGATTCTTATCATAACCCACTAAGGGCTGTGATTTGCACAAAGCACAGCAAACCAATGTTTCAAATACCGAACCAGATATTCAACAGGGGTTTGGATCATAGTTCAAAACTAGCTAAACCAAAAAGGGTTTGGATCATAGTTCAAAACTAGCTAAACCAAAAAGGGTTTGGATCATAGTTCGAAACCATCTAAGTCAATGATTCAACAGGGGTTGAAATATAATCAAACCGGTTCATGGTTCGTCCAATTGAACACTGATTTTTAAAAACATTGCAGATCGCGGACAACTAACGGTTTAGTTTTAGCTTTTTCCAACAATTCAACACAATATGAAGATACGAACTGTCACAATCCGAACCTTACAGCATTATCATATTCATAATTTGAATTATAAAACCCGAAAATTAAATAATAACCGTTGGAAGGAAGAACTACACAAAGTGCAGTTTTTGAACCGAACCAAAACCTTTTGCCACCAGCCACCGGTTGAATCGAGGCTTCATTTTCTGACTCAATTTCTATGATATTATTACACAACCTATACAATGCCATCATAGATCATCCACAGTAACAACAACAACAACAATTCATGCCAGAAAACCAAGGTTTTTATAAATTCCACTAAACCAAACAAAACCTTGATTTTCACAACATCGAATTGAGCAAGCAGCTACGTACCACAAAAGCAAACAAATCAATCACACAACCAAAACAAACAAACACTTAGAATTCAAAATTGCACATAATTCAAACACCAGAAAACGTAAAACGCAGCAACCGAAACGACTATCTTCGCCTACAAAACGGCAACGAAATTAATAATAATTAATTAATTAAAAAAAAAACACAGCAACATTACCTAACAGAGAAAACAGAATTATTAGTAATATTATTATTCACAAAACGATCACAGCAAGGAAAATAATAAAACCGCAATCACAGAACAACAACGAACTTTCGACTCGACGGCGACGCAATCGGCGATTGAAGTGAGTAGCAAACGACGTCGTAGTCTCGCTTTGAATCTCCGGCGACACGTTTTGGTTGGAATGCAGAGGGGAACGAAACGACGTCGAATTTATAGGGCAAGTGAATGTTCTAACTTGGATTCGAGAGGGTTCGAAATTGACCGTGCCTACACGAAAACAAAAATTATTATTATATACAGTAATTTGAAAGTGACTGCGGCATAATCATATTTGCCCCGCAAAATATCTCCATTACGATATCGATTGAGGTGCCGCCACGTGTTGCCTCGAACTCAGTGCAAGTATCTTAACATGCTTGGATTAATTAAGGAAATGTGATTAGCGATCTGACTCAGCAAGAATGTCTTTAGATTTGGATTGGATAAAAAAAAAAAAAAATTGTATAATTGTATAATATAATAAATGAGAATCGTTGGTCAAAATTGCAGGATCTAAATATAAAATTTTATATGTGTCAACATCAAAACAAATAAAACGTGTCAGAGGATTCATCACAGGAAAATATACGTGATCGTGAAGTATGAAATTGGGTTATTGAGGTTTTTACAAACATTTTGTTTTTCTATTTTAAAAGAAAAGTTGGTATGATAGTTTTTACAAACACCTTATGAATTGCATGATTTAATTTCTATAAATAAAAATGAAAGTAGTTTTTTTTTTTTTTTTGCTTCATGAAACTAGATAAATGAACTCTAGAAAAATTAGTCTCTTTTCTCTTTCCATTTTGTAGTTGTGTAATTATATATAATAAGATGTCAGATTAATTAAAAATTATAAACAGCTTATTTAATAAGAATTTTAAGATGAATTCTAGGGTGGACAATTATAATAGGTGATTTTGGTAGTTAAATAATATATAACATAATGTTGTTTTATACTATCTGATTTAATAATATGTCATTGGTAGTGAATTATTTATTTATTTATTTCCTTTTTATATTTCCTTTACCCTTCCTCCCCTCTCTCCTCATCTTACAACTAATCACCATTCTACCATGCACACACAAATGGAAGGTGTTATAAGTATGGCTTCAACAGTGTTACTCATTCCCAAATGAGGATCCACCATTTGCAACCCAAACTTCATGAACAAATCCAATAAGGGCCTCATCATCACACCTTCATCCCAAGGAAACGTTCCAAGACTACCATTTTCATAACCAACAATCCCCATGCAACACTAAATTTGGCTGAGGGTGGTGTATTCTTAAATTTATAGCAAATTAAAATCCTATATATGGTGTGTTGACCACCATAAATCACATGTCACGTGGATACAAAATTTAATGGTGTCCTTGATTCATAAATTTACTTATTAAGTTAAGAGTTCGCAGAAATTCATTAAAGGAATTTTTCCCTAATACTAAAGGATCTTCTTGAATATATATAGTAGGATTTTAATGGTCGTATGAGGTGTAAAATTGAGTAAAATTCTTTATTTTGTAAAATTTGATTTTAAACTTTTTTTTATGAGAGTAAAGATTTTACTAATGTTTTTCTAGATAAATTTTATTTGTGACTCTCTTTTTATTTATCGGCAATATTATTTTGAAATCATGGGTTGTCCTTTTATTGATAAATTTACGACTAAAGTAGTTAATAAAGTTGTTTACACGTTATTTGTTTTGGAAAAATTTAAAGAGAAAAATGACACAATAATAAAGGATGTAATCATATTTTTAAAAGTGATATTCCTAAATTGCTTGTTTTATCCCATGTTTTTTGGGTTATAAAGTTAAAGATTAAAATAGAACAAAAATTGTATTAAAAAAATGTAATATAATAGATGCAATGAGTGTAATGTCATCCGAAGAGATCCTAAATTCATTTGACAACATTCTCCAACAATGAACTCACTCAATAAGTTTTGAGGCTCGTCCAACAAGATTTCTAAGTTATACGACAACTTTTTTTTTTTTTTTTGTTTCAATATTACTCGCTGATAGTTGCCTAACAAGTTTTAATAGTCGCCCAATGAATTTTAATAGTTGCCTAGGAAATCTAGTTTTACAAATCTTGGTTTTTATTATTTTAACGTTGAGTTTTGTTAATATAATGAAGTAAAAAAACTCAAATTAAGTATAATAGATTAGGGTTCATAAATGGGATTAAATCATTTATCACTTAAGGAATTAGAGTTAAACTAATTTAAAGAGCTTGAAAGTAACTTGTTTAACAAAAAAGGACTTAGAATGAAAAGATATTATCTTAAAGAAGAATCAACAAGATTCTGATAAACTGTTTTAATTCATAGAGTTTTTTTTGAACATCTTATAAAAAATTAGTTGGAAAATATCAAGCCCAAGAGACTTATAAGTTTTCATAATCATATTCATTTTATACATTTCTTGCTTAGTCATAAAATTTAAGAGAAACTTCATATCTTTGGAGAGAAAAAAGAAACACTAAAAAGAGGTTGAATAATGTTAATTAAAAACTCAACATTTTTTTTCAAAATAGTGAAATAGTATCAATGTCTTACGAGTGTAGACGAAGAGTCAAGAGAAAAGAACATACAATATTTGTATACTAATTCATCTCAATTACTAAGACCACACCAGTTCTTGATCAACCTGATCAAGTTTCACTATTTTTTTTTACATAAATACAAATATTCTTTCACAAATTACTTTTGGCTCAACCTAAGTATTCTTTAATTTGTCTCTTCAAGTAATTATCCAAGTATTTTTTGAATAATAAAGTCTCTCCAAGCTTCAATAACCAAGCATTTTTTTAATCAAGCCTCTTTCAAACTTTAAGCAATAATACGAAGTTAAAGTTGAGAAATCACTTGTTATTTTGTTTAACTACCAAGATGTGATACAACTAATTTAAGTATAGAGCTTTTTACAAAAAAAAAAGAATATGAATTTTACACTTGATGGTTTTGTCTTTATGAATTTTACACAAGCTTATTTCGTTTGTCTTCATATTTTTTCCTTGTGAAAAGAGGTGTCCATTGGAGCATCAAATGTGGACATTAAATGTGTTTCATCAAATTGCCAGTTTTTTATCTGATCAAGGAAACTACTTGTCACTTTTATGGTTCTAAACAAAAGAAATTATTGTGTGCATCAGTTAGAAACAACTTTTTTGAGACTTTGCATACTTCAAGGGATTTTCTTGTCCCTTTTCTAACACAAAGCATGTCCATGGTCCTTTTTGTAATGCAAGTATCGAAAAAAACTTTTTATTCCTTTCAATTTGTTAAGGAATAACATAGACATATACAATTTTATTATCAGACATGATAAATGATATATATTACATGTTTTTGTCTTACAGACAAAGCAATTCATCTGAGAGACTAAATGTTTTTATAATCAACCGTTTATAATGATACGTCTTATAGTATGACCCGAAAAATGTTTCTCTGAAAAACATCTAAATTTGTTATCATTAAAACTTATATTTTAAGATTGTCTTTTGGTCTAACAACATCCTAATCATCAAGAGAAGACATGGAGTTTAAGTTATTGACAACTTGAACCTTTTTTGTATCATCAAAAAGAGAGGTTATTTAAATAATTCATTGCTTCTTACTAGAGAACCTCATCATTAGTGCATTGTTTTCCAAAAAATAAAAAATTATGTGGATTTATTATTAAATTTGTGCTTAATCATTTTCCATGATTGACACTCATCATTAAGAAATTGATTTTAATCTATATCTTTGAATTGGGAAATTGAGGTTTAGGTTGTTCCAATTCAATAATAATACAATTCTTGAATCTAGGGATAAGGATTGATTATGTCTTTATGTGAATTTCCCTCTATTAATGTTTTTTTAATTGATTTTTTTTGCATAAGGAATTAGGTTTCATAATTGGGATTAAAAAGTTTATCACCTAAGAAATTAAGGTTAAATTATACTTTAGAGGGATTGAAGGCAAATTGCTTTATAAGAAAGAATTTAGAATAAAAAAAATATTATTTTAATTACGAATCAACGAGATTCCAATACTTAACTATTTTAATTCATAAAGTATTTTAAAGAAGATTAGTTGGAAAGTAGTATGCTTAAGGGATTTATAAGATTTGATAGTGTTTTATACATTTCATGGTTAGTTGTAGGATTTATCAAGATAAGCCATCAAACTTAAGAGGTAAAATAATTCAATACTTCCCCTTCCTGCTAGAGAACCTCATTATTAGTGCAACATTGTTAGTCAAAGTCTGTTGCTTTACGTGTTCTATTAATCCACATTTGTTAATAAGCCCTAGTTCCAAGGGATTCTATTTTTTAGGAAGAGTTTCTTTCATTCCTAGTTTGTTGCCATGTAGTACGTGGCTTTTTGTTTCATTTTTGTTTTGTAAAGGATTATATAAGCCATTATTGGTTTTCCTAATGAATAATACATTTTTCTCTCCTAATATTTTCTTGAGTCACAATTACTCCTGGTTCTAATAATTGGTATTAGAACTCCACAAGGGGCCTGGTACTGTGTGTGAAGTGAGTGAGAGAAAAAACTATGTGTGAGGAGAAGAAACATCGAGAGATCAATATGTCTACAACTGAGAAGTTCATACAACCGGCCATTCCAAGGTTCGATGGCCATTATGATTATTGGTCTACGAAGTAAAGAAATGTGGCACCTCGTAGAAGAAGGAATACCGACACTTGGGACAACACCAACTGAAGCGCAATGGAAGAGTGTGGAAGAGGCCAAGCTTAAAGATTTGAAGGCCAAGAATTTCTTGTTTCAAGCTATTGACAGAGAGATTCTAAAAACAATTATTGACAAGGGAACTTCGAAGGCAATATGGAGATCTATGTAGCAAAAGTATCAAGGATCCACAAAGGTGAAAAGAGCACAACTCCAAGCATTGAGAAGAGAGTTTGAACTACTGGCCATGAAAGAAGGCGAAAAGGTCGATAGCTACTTGGGAAGGACTCTTACTGTGGTAAACAAGATGAAATCAAATGGTGAAGCAACGGAGCAAAGTACGGCTGTTAGTAAGATACTCAGATCTTTGACCTCTAAATTCAATTATGTTGTGTGCTCAATAGAGGAATCAAATGATTTGGGTGCCTTAAGTATTGATGAACTACATGGTAGCCTTCTTGTTCATGAGTAAAGAATGCAGGGATTTCAGA